ATAGAGAATAATAATATATTATTTATTTTCTTTCTCTTTATTTTTTTTTCTCTTCCTTTTTTTTTTTTATCGAATCGTTTAATATTTATCGTACGATCGTGCTTTGTATAGTTAGTTATGGATATGTTCGCGTATATATAGAGATTACTTTTTTTTTTTTTAATAACATCTTTTATTAATTTGTAACGAAGTACGATTTTTTTTTATTCTTTTTATTTCTGCGTAAAATATATCTCGCTAAAATTTCAATATATTTTTTTAACCACTAGTATTATATATATAAAATATATAGGATGTCCGAAAAAGGTTGGGACTACACTTACGCTACGTATTGCTGAGGTCAAATAGATGAGAAAAGTTTATATATAGTTATATCTAAAGATAAGTTTAGTCTGAATCGTTGTGGACACTTTGTATATTGGTGTACAATAAAAAAAAACGAGAATAAAAGCTACTTTTTGAATTGGATACTATTTTTAATAATTAAAAGTATCCTTTTTTTTCATCGTGCACCCATTTCATTTCCATGGGTTTTGTAATATTTAAATTTTAGATTCGAGAGATATGTATTACTAATGGAAAAAAAAGAAATTGAATTAAATGAAAATCAATCGGTTTTTATTAATTTATAGTGTTATATGTTATTTATAGTTATATGTTACAAGAAAATGTTTTTCATGCAAATGCATATATTTATTACATGGTCATATTTTATGCATATCTTTGCACATGTAAATATATTAGGTAGTTTGGAAAATAATTTCGTTTGTCACGTTTACCGATATCGAAATTGTCAAGTAATGTTTTTTTTATAGCATCGCATCAAGAATGAAAAATCAAAGTGAGCATTTTTATCATATTTTTTACGTTTTTATTACCGTAAAATTAATAATTTAATAAATTAATTTAGATTTAAAAGAAGCGCCATGCTTATAGGTCGTCCAGTTGAAGAATGATGGGTAAATAAAATAAAAGTAATGACGGATGCTTATTGTCACATAACTATGCGAAAAATAGTTGAAAAGTCAAGTTTATCGAATTCAACTGGTCCTGATTATTTAAAACGCGTTGGATTCTAAATATGAACAAATTTTCTTTTATTTACCATTGGAAATACGAAATTACTTTTCTGAACGTATTTAAAAATATGTATTTAAAACTAATATATTTAAATTTTATAAAATCAAGAGATATTTATTACTAAAAAAAAAATTTTAATTAAATGAATCAATCATTTTTATTAATTTTATAGTACATATTACTGACAAATATGTTCTATGTCAATAGATTTATTTATTATACGATTATACTTTATGTATATTTCTTTGCATATGTATATATATATATATATGCACGTGTAAGTACATTTGTGTACTATAATACATCGGTCGTATCTATAACGTCAGAATCGTTATTTTTGTCGTCGTGCAAGTGTATGTTGGTACGTTGTAATGCGCCTACGCTATATAAAATAATACTCCGTGAGAGTCTTGAACCGGTTGAAACTTTATTTCTGGCAAGCGAAATATTAATAAGGTGTAAAGATGTCCGATTGCGTAAATTGAAAGTTTTCAACGAAAGCGCCAACGTCGTCGAGTAGTAGAGGATAAAATGAAATTTCGATTCATCCTTTTTGCACGAATAATCACGATGATATTTCGATTGGATATTAAACGGAAATTTTAGGCTAACTAGTGTTTCTCTTATTTTGTATTATTTTTTCCTTTCAGTAATATTTGTTCGTAATACCTGAACATTAGTTGCTTCAGATACGAATTAGGGATTTATTTTTTATTTTTCATTGTGTGCTGTTATTTTACTGAGGTAAAGGGAATTATTTACGTGCACGTGTTTAATTAAGTTGAAATTATTATTTGGTTTGCCAATTTCAATGTTAAAGTGCAAATGATAATTTAAAAAATTGGAATCAATATTAAATTTTATTTGTTTGCTGTGTATTTTGATAATACGCATAAGGAAAAAGAACTTCAATATAAATTATTATTGAAAACTCGTCTTACAATTTTAAATTGAAATAACAAAATTACAACTTATAATTAAAAAGTAAAAAAAAAAAAAACAAATAAAATGCATTATTTATTATTTTGTAGGCTACTAGCGATCAATTTAAATTATCACGCACCGATTAAAAAAAAATGTTCAAATTAAAATTAAAAAAAAAAAAATTCGTATAAAAATATGTGTGATTAATTGTGAAAGATAAAAAAAGGTTTACATATCGTAAATTTCATTTTAATTGAATAAATTTGTAAGAAGTTTAACATTTATGTGTGTCGTAATAAGCGTTGAAAGTTCTTGGATTAATAATTGTAATAATTTTCCGACCGTTTAAACAAGAATGCAATTTGAATTTGGCGAATAGAGACGCGTCTTATTCGAACTCGTCGTAATCGACTACTCGCGCAGTTCGCTTTCACTCGCTGGAATTACACGCGCGTAGTACGAAGTAAGATAAACGATTATGAATGGGAATACTTTCATTGACGAGCGTGTGTCTGTTAGAAGCGGACGCACGCTTTTCGCGCGCTTACACGTTCAAATAATATTCTTAACGCGTTCTTCTATCTTTATTCTTTCCTCTCTATTTCCTTTATTTTTTTTATTTTCTTCTTTTTATCGTACATAACTTCCTTCACGTTGGAACCAACAACAACGCAATTAATCTATCCTTCGTAAAAAAGAAAAATTTCTTTTCCAAATCAATTAATTATAGAATTCAAAATATTGATTTTATTCTTAAAGAAGAGATGAAAAGGTTGGTTATAATTAGAAAAAAAAAACAACTAGATAAATTTAGTATTATATTTGAAATAAATAGAAATAATCTTAATACGAACAAGAGAGAGAAAGAGAGAGAGAGAGAGAGAGAGAGAGAGAGAGAGAGAGAGAGAGAGAGAATATTTCATGTTAAAGATAATTTAAAGAGTTTGTTGTTGATAAAGGGAGAAAAAGAGAGAAAGAGGAAAGAGAATAACGGATAGAAATCAATAAGGTCAGAACTTATTAATCGGTTATATTTGATTTATAATAAATGCAACGCAATATATCAAACATTTATCATCAAGATAGATAAATTAAATTTTACATAAACATATCTACATAGAAATCATTGGAATTCAATGCGAGATATTGAAAAATGTAGAAACTGAGGCTTGCTCGAAGAGGCAAAAGAGGTGGAAGAGGAGGGGATAGATGGATTGGTGTACTCTCCAGAAAGTTTGAAAGTTCGGGGCAGGAAATACGAGGATGGTACTTACGTAGGATCACATTGGCACCTCTTGGTAGCATTAGAATAAGAAGAAGAAGAAGAAGAAGAAGAAGAAGAAGAGGAGGAGGAAGATGGAAAAAAAGAGAAAAAGAAAGAGAGAGAGATACAGTGAGTGCATCATCGTCGTCCATTCGGCATGAAAGAGGTTTAAGGGGAACGCCAGAGAGAGACAGAAAAAAACAGAAGAAAAAATGAAGAGTGTGTGTAAGAGAAAGAGAAAGAGAGAGAGTGAGTATATGGTAAGAGTAGTGGGCGCGAGATGGCACGCAAGCGCGCGCAATTTGTTCGGAAAAGGACGAGGATTGGTCCACTGTTCTCTGACGTCGGTGGAACGTTATCGACCAATGAGAGAGCCAGAAAGAACCGATGTTAGCCGAACGTATTCGGTAGCGAATTTCAGAGAAGACGAAGTTTACCGAACGATACATCAGTCCCTCTCTCTACACTCGTATGTACATATGTATATAACAAACATATATATATATATATGGCGTTTTCTCTTTTTTTTTCTATTACACGCACATACATGTATGCACACAGATAGTATCATCTTTACTCTCCACGCGACTTCCTCAAATCTTTATTTTCAGACTCGACCGCGAACTCGGGGCGAACTGGTCGACGAAGCTCGTACGACCGCCCCGGTTTTTCACGAGCATCTTCTTTCTCTTTCTTTTTGTGTTTATGTACATGAGTAAGAGAAAGAGAGAGAGAAAGAGAGAAAAAGAGTGTGTGGCTGGTGTATATGCGCGCACTCATCGTCATATGCCACACCATCGCATCATCATCACACCACTACTATTGCAACTGTTAGTACTACTGCATACTACTATTACTACTACTACTACTGTGCTGTATATTACTACACTTCTACACTACTCTACCCTACTACTGTATATTACTGCACTACACACTACAATATTACTATCTACTATACTACTATACTACCACCATCATCATCACCACCTCCACTTGCTTCTGCCTCTGCCGCCGCCGTCAAGCAGCAGCATTCTAAATTTGAATCCCCTCCGAGAGGAGAAACAGTAGTGTCCGCGAGTTGCGCGCGTTACGACGTCGTATCAACATCGTCGTCGTCGTTCTCGTCGCCGTTGTCGTCGTCGTCGTTTACGTCGTCGTGTTGTTATCTTCTTTTCAAAGAGATTTCTTATACTTGAAGAAATATATATATATATATATATATATGTATAAAATTATTATAAACAAATATCAATATTTTTGATGTTTGAAATCAAAAGAAAAAAAACAGGACTCCGCTTCTTCTCGTATTCTACTCTCTAGTCAAACCTAGTCGATTTTATTTAAATATTCCTTTTTTATAATCGTGTCCTCGCTTCTAAACCGTCTTATATTATTATTCCCGTTCGTTTTAATTTTTTTATACGGACAAAAATATACAGATGAACAAATAATATTTGTTACAATAAAAGAAACATTGGTTGTGTCAAGATCTTGGATCGAGAAGTTCAGTGATGATAGGAGAATTGTTGTAACTCTCGTAGATCCAAATGAAGAGGAGGAGGAATCTTCAGGGATCGAGAATCGATTAAAGTTGACGCCACTGTTCCCTCCTGCTACTACTTCTGATTCTCATATGTGAAAAAGAGAAGGAAGAGAAGAAGAAGAAAAAAGGAAAAGAATAAGAATAATAATAAGAGGAAGAAGAAGAAGAAGAAGAAGAGGAGATCGACGGACGTGAGAAAAAGAAGGAGAGAGGGAGAAAGAGAAATAGAAATAAAAGGAGAAAGAGAAAGAGAAAGAGAAGAAGAGGAGGAATTCGAACGTCGTGCCAAAGGGAACACGCAAAGGCGCGCGTTGTTCCCTCTCTCCCTTCCTCAACAGGCCACCCCCTTACTTTCGCGTACGTGTCGCGTGCTCTCGCGCATGTCTTCTTCATCCTCCTCCTTTTCCTCCTCCTCATCCTCCACATCCTCCTCCTTCACCTCCACCTCTTCCTCCTGTTCCTTCTCTTCTTCGTCATCACCCCATCGAGAACTTTTGTTTTGATCTTGAAGTTGCCATCGGCGGACGCAGAAGTCCATCCGGCTCGCGTTAGATCGAAACGTTAGCGAGATTTAAACGTGAGAGGGAAAGAGAGAGTGAGGGACTGAGAGAAGTGTACATGTATAACACACCTAGTGGGGAGAGAGAGATATCGATCGTGGGACCATTGACGTCCGTTTCTGGAGAACGCGGCACACGAAGAGACGTTAAGGGTGCTTTTCGCGAACCAACCCCCTTTTACCACCACCACCACCACCACCACCACCACTACCAGTACTATTATTACTATTCTACCTCGTTCCTCTTTTTTATCTATATCTTCTTTCTCTCTTTGACTTACTTCGCTGTGAATTTTACGCGCGAACCTTGTTCGACAAGAGGAACCTTAGTGAGTGAGATAGATTCTAGGATAAAGAAGGACTCCTTGGGAGGATGCAACCCGGCTTACGTGTTTTAGTATTTTCACGTGATTTTCAACAACATCCTCGGCATCGTAATTGTCTCACTTCTGACAATACTATTTCTACTACTACTACTACTACTACTACTACTACTGCTGCTATTGATATTGATACTACTATTTTTATTATCGCTGCTGCTGCTGCTGTTATTATTATTATTATTATTATTATCATTGTTGTTATCGTTGTTGTTGCACGACAAAACAGTGCACATTTTCGCGCTATTAGTTTATCTTACGAACGAGCTAAAAGTGCTGCGTGTTACTATTCGAGTTTTTTTTCCAACGCTAAGGGGATGATCGTTACGTGATCAACGAGATACAACAATTAAGGTGAGTCCGATCGGGATTTTTACAAATACTCTCGTGAAGATTCATTATTATTATTATTATTATTATTATTATTATTATTATTAATATTATTATTATTATTATTATTATTATTATTATTATTATTATTATTAGTAGTAGTATTTTTGTTGTTTATAAAGTTCAGTTTTCAGTGGACTGGCCAATATTTTAAATGAGGTTCGTTTGAAGAATACTTGAAATATTTATTTTAATTAATATTAAGGGATTGAGGGTGAATAAGGATTTTATAGGGATGGTTCTTGTTAATAGAAATTGATCTTCGACTTTTGGTGAAAGCAGGTTAATGAGTGTTGTATCGTTAGGAGGGTTTTTTTTTTCTAAAAAGCTTTCCCCTTTTGTTCTCTTTCTTTTATAGATGTGTGAGTGGTGTGTTAGTGTATATGCATACACGTTCATAGATCTCCAGTGCATCTTATTTTTCCTAACATTTTAACCGGCGGATGAATGTTTCCTTTGAATGAAACTATGCCTTCGTATTTTTAAATTTCTCTACTTTAAATGATATATAAGATTATAAATTACACATTTTATATATATTTATGATTTTAAATTAAAAAAATCAAAGAAAAGAAAAAAAGCAAATGTACAATATTAAATAAGTTAAACCATCCTATCAAAGTTTGCGAACATCAGTCGTTTAACTTGGCCTTACATCGTCAATGATCTATTAGATCATAATAGATCCATGATCTTTCAACTTTGAATATGTTAAGTATTCATCAAATTTAAATACATTTGTATATGCAACTCAATATACCAAAAAAGAAAATATATATATATATATATANAGACTCTCACGGAGTATTATTTTATATAGCGTAGGCGCATTACAACGTACCAACATACACTTGCACGACGACAAAAATAACGATTCTGACGTTATAGATACGACCGATGTATTATAGTACACAAATGTACTTACACGTGCATATATATATATATATACATACATTATATGGGTCAATCATATTTTATCAAAGTTAAATAAATATTAGTATTTTATCATGGATTTATCTATTAGATCATTATATATCTTGAACTTTCGATTTTAAATACATTAAATATACGCAATTTGAATAAATATCATAATATAAACACACAAAAAATGAAGAGAAAAAAAAGTATATTCCTATAACAATTCTCAAATATCATTCGTTTAACTTCTCCTTGAGTAATCAATCATAGTCTCGATCCTAATAGATCCCAATAGATCATTATAAATTTTAAATATATCCTGCTCTCACTAATATTAATAATGAATTTATTAATAAATTAATGTATCTCTCTCACCGTGAATATCGAAACAAAATTATATATTCAAAAGAAAAAAAAAAGAAATAGAAAAAAGAAACAAATCAAAAAGATAAAATAAGTCACACACACACAAAAAAAGGAATAAAGTAATTGTTCATATTAAATCGTAGTAAATGAGCGAGTAATGTGTACGTTTATACACGCGCTTACGTTTAAATTTAATTAAAACTAATTTATGTATCTCTGTGACTTTAAACAAATTATTATTTATTAAAAAAATATCTAGCTAGAAAAAGTAATTTAAAATAAAAAGAAAAAATATTTGCTCACATCTTACAATTAATCGCCGTTGCCCGTAGTAAGTGAGTGAATATGATGATGCACCACCTTACACAATTATAATAAAATCACGCATACACTTAAAGTTTCTAACGAAGCGTCGAGTGGCGCGACGAATTCAAGGAGGAGGAGGATGATGGCGATGGTGACGGGGTTTTTCGTTGTTCGTCGTCGTCGTTGTCGTCGTCTTGCATCGTGTGTTTCTTGGACGACGTCCAGCTTTCTGGTATCTCGAGTAAGACTGCACCGATTTGACGACGACGGTTTGCTTGCCCCCTTGATTCTTTAATGCCACGATCCCCAAGGAACTATTCGCTTGGCGTCGAATCAACGAAAGACGACACACACACACACGAAACAAACATACACTTGCATAAACACTTTAGTCTCACTCCCTGTTGCTGCTGCTGCTGCTTACGATTAAAACCAACGAGATATTCCGATTCGTGATGTGGAAACAATCTAAACAACAGTTTTTTTTTTCTTATTTTGTTTGTTTTTACTTGGGAAAAAAATATGTCGGGATAAATCAAATAAAACTTAGCGAGATATTATAATAATTCATTCGATTATTATTGTTGAACGAACCATGATCTTTGTCTGTCTCTCTGTCTCTCTTTCTTCATTTCTTTCTTTTTTGTAAAGAATTGAAAATCTTACCTTGAAGTAGAAAAGAATTCTAATCGTTTGCGCGTTGAGTATCATCTGTAATCCGAAGAACAAGTAGAACGATTGAACGTGAATCGTAAAGCAAACGAGCTCGTGAGAAAGTCCTCCTTAAATCCCTGATTACTATGTCATAACTTGTCCTCTCACTCGCTCACTCATTTTCACTCACTCATTCTCGTCGTTCTGATTGTTCTTCGGAGTTTCATTTATGATTCGTTTAATTTGACGAAGATTGATATTTTTTTTTCCTTTTTTTTTGCGGTATCTTCCCAACTTCCAGATATTTCGAGATAAGATTTTTTATCGCACGTGTGCATATTTTCATAAGTATTAGTTAAGTCAATAAGTAAATTTGGCTCTTAATGTTTCATCATTTCATTTTATATTTATTGACGAATTTAATAGTTCGATTTAAAAATTACTGACAATTTTAATATATTTATTTAAAATATCTTTAGTAAATATTAAATTTTTGCTTTAATGTTTTGTCAATTTGTTACTGTTTTTTTATCTCTTTTTTTTTTTCTTATATAAAAAAACACTACCGTACACTACGAACGATATAACTTCTTTAACGCATCAAGTTCATGAACATGCATAGTAATCGCCAACATCCCTTAATAAAATAGAGGATCTTTCGTTATTTTATTATATTTATTAACGAACCTTATAATTAAATATATAGATTATATTGCACACAAAATTTTAATAATTATATAAAATAATTATTTGTGATTTTTAAAATATTTCTAAAAAAAAATATGAAAGAATATTGGGGTATCATCGTAAATTTCTATATAAATGATTAATTAAACTCGTATGAAAAATGAATGATCGTTAAATAAATGTGAATTAATTATTTTGAAGTTTATGATGAAAAGTTAGGATGAAAAATACTATTCTTCTTCGATCGTCATTCATTAACTTACTCGCTAAACGACTCAATACTAAAAACGAGGTCTCGGTGGCACGCGAGTGGATGCAAATTTTTCTTACACCAACCAACCAACCTCCTCCAACTCTAGTATCTATATCTCGAGCCGTAAAGTCAAGGTTTTGCATGTCGCCTCGTTTTTACGTGACGTAGACGCCGGGTTTTGCCTTTTCTTAGTTTTCGATCCTTTGAAATTTATTTCGTAGCTATATACACCCTACCACTCATATATGATAAACATACATATACATCCATAAGGTATGTTAGAATTTACGTTAGAACTTGTTCGATCGTGATTTCTTTTGTATATATTTTTTTTGTCTGAATTTTTCTTTTTGTTCTTGTGGAAACGATAATTCCTTCCAAATGAATTTCGTTTACGTGTTATTCTTTTGATATGTTTTTCACAAAGTTGCAACCACGGCGCAATATATCGTTTAGATTAGATTAGGTGTATATTTTACCATTCTTTCTTCTTCTACTTTTTCTTTTTCTTATTATTTTGGGTATATTTTCTTTTCCTTTCTTTTTTGCGATTTGATTTTATTATTCGTTTAGGAAAAAAAAAACTATTTTAAAAATCGTAGAAATATAGAAGATTTTTTTATTAAAATGTTTGATTCTTCCTATCGGAATTACAACGGTTGTTAAAGGAATGAGCTACTCGTTATCGATAACCAACGAAGCGTTCTCGTAATATAAGATCCTCTCCTCCTCTAAGTTTTCGTATCTGTAGCTTATTTCTAGGAACTCTTGACGATACGCTTCTTTAACGAAAATTACATTTCCGCTTATTAGATTTGCTCGTTTGACGTCGCGTATTCTTTCGTTAATAAGTTTACTTTTTAGTTAGAGAAGTAATTATTTTTCTTTATCAGTTTAAATGTTGAGTTTTACGTTTAAGAAAAAGAATAAAGGAAAGAAAAAAAACAAAATTAATGGGAAAATATATCATATTGATATATATATTGATAGCAGGAAAACATATTAGATTTAGGAAAACGATTGAAGATTAAGCAGAAACTTATTCATTGTTATTTTTCTAATGATTTTCATAAAACAAAAAAAATAACTGTCATCTATATAATTAAATATCACAATTAAACAATGACCAGCATCCGTAAGAAATAAAAAAAAAAGAAAAAACAAAGTTAAGATAAAAGATCATGATTTCATTGTGACTGAAGGAACGATTAAAACGGATGATTTTTCATGCTGAATTCTAACAGCATAAAAAAAAAAGCACAAGGAGAGTAAGTTGGTGCAGGTCACCGAGCTGGTCGCTGACCCTCACTCGCTTGCAAGCTCTTGTATAATAAACCAAATTCGATCGTATGTCTGACGACGTTGGTAGTAGAACTCTTCCTAGATCTCTCTGCGGGTTTACGCGTTCTATCGAAACAGAAGAGAAAGAAACAGAAAGCACAGAAACACACGCGCAAATATACGGAAGGTATATAAAACACACGTGTGCACTTATACATGCACGTTGTATACGTAAGTATAACACAAAGTAGAAAATGTTGAGCTACTTCCTACACCCCTTTTTATTTTTTTTTATCAACCATACGTTTCTTTCCCTTTGATATCATTGTACACAATATATTATAGTACATACACACATATATATATACATCAGTATCGAGCTAAAGTACCTTGGTACCTTCGCCTAGATACGTCGTCTAGTAGTAGCTAGTTCACTTATACTTCCATAGCTACGGATTAGCGTATTTATAATGCATTTGCAAGCGTATCTTATATGTTT